CCAAGCTGGACCATTCCACCATATGGATAAATTTTTCAGGATAGTCAATTCGGTTCCACGTGATATGACATCTGCAGGATTGTCGGCTGATTTCACGTGGTTCCAGCACTCGGACGGTATTGACCTGCGTATTTCACAAACTCTGTTAGCCACAAATGTCTTCCATCGAAGTGGGTCTCCTCTTATCCATCCGATGGTTATCATGGAGTCTGTCCAGGCATGAATCGTTACATTCTCTATTTCCAAAGCTTCAATTGTTTTGCTCATCAATTTCGCTAGAAGAACGGCAGCACAGAGCTCTAATCTTGGCAAGGTAGTCTTGTTCCTTGCAGGAGCTACTTTAGATTTTGCCTGAAGTAACGTTATATACGGTTTTCCCGACACCATTGTTCGGCTGTAAATTACGGCTCCATATGCTTTCTCTGAGGCGTCGCAGAATCCTAGAAGCTCCATTTGTGCGCCATTGAAATATGACCACCTCGGGATTTTTATCTCATTTATGTTCTTGAGATCTTCTTTGATTTGCGACCAGCGTTCCAATGTTTCGACGCTGACCCTTTCATCCCACGCAAGCTGTTGCAGCCATAGATCTTGTATCATCATTTTGACTTTGATGATAAATGGAGCTAGCCATCCAAGTGGGTCGAAGATTTTTGCAATTTCGGACAGAATGTGCCTTTTAGTTATTTCTGACTCATTGTCGATCTTTGCTCTGAATATGAACACATCCTCTGATGGGGCCCATAGGATTCCAAATGATTTTTTGGTTTCTTCTCCCAATAGAAAGTTTGATTTCTCCCTTAAGTTTTCGGGGACTTTTTCCATGAATGCAGCTGAGTTGCTCGACCACTTCCTTAGAGAGAAGCCACCTGCTCGCAACAGGCCAACTAATGATTTTTGGAGTTCTTGCGCTTCCTCTACACTATTTGCTCCTGATAGTACATCATCTACATAAAAGTCTCTCAATGCGACTTGTGACGCTTCTTTGTAGTTTTCCTCTTCGTCTTTGGCTAATTGCTGAAGAGTCCTTATGGCTAGGAATGGCGCCGAAGCGGTTCCATACGTTACAGTGGTCAGCTCATATTCTTGTATTGGTTGTGATGGCTTACAGCGCCATACTATTCTCTGGTATGGTAGGTCATCTTTGTTTATTTTGATTTGCCGGTACATTTTTTCAACGTCGGCAGTAAACGCAATTCGATGCTTGCGCCACCTTAGTATTATTTGTGCGAGGTCTTGTTGTAATCGAGGGCCGACGTACATCGTATCATTCAAGCTCACGTTTGTGTTTGTTTTGCTTGATGCGTCATACACTACTCGTAGTCTAGACGACGTGCTCTCTTCTCGAATTACAGCTTGATGTGGTATATAATATTTGCCTTGATTTAGCTCGTGGTACGGTACTTTTCGCATGTGGCCAAGTTTCAAGTATTCTTCCATGAAGGATACATATTGTTGATGTAGATCTTTATCTTTGGCGAATTTTCTCTCGAGCTGTTGTAGCCTTGCCACAGCTCTTGGTTTTGATTGGCCTAACTCTGGTGTTGAATCTTTGAAAGGTATTTTGACAGTGTAGGATCCGTCTGTATTCCTCTTCGTTGTTTCGGCATAAAATTTCTCACATGCTCGATCTTCTGGTCGGACATGTTGATCGTTAGCCACTTCTTCGATTTCCCAAAATTTTGCTAGCTGCTCGTCTTCTTTTATGCGGGCTACCATACTAGCAACTTTCAAGTTGGCTGATTTGCTGACTATCATTTGTCCTGATAGCATCCATCCAAATTCCGTATTCTGTCCTATCAGTCCATTAATGTTTTTCTTAAGGCCTTCTAGTAATATTTTTCCGTACTCTTCGGCCCCGAGGAGTATGTCTATCGGCCCTGGCTTGTTGAAAGTCGGATCTGCTAATATTTCGTTTTTCCAATCGTTACTGTCGGGTTCTGGTAATGCCTGGGCTGGTAGTGCCTTCGTAATTTTCGGGAGCACGAAAAGTTGCACGTCTAGGGAATATTGACTTGGAAATCTTGGCTTCAGTTGGACATCAATTCTAGATTTTGAGATCGTGGGATCTTTGCTTCCTAGTCCTGATATTTCAGCTCTTATCTTTTGTCTAGGGCAGGCTAGTAATTGAGCGGCTTCTTCGGTTATGAAAGAGGACTGTGATCCTTGATCGATTAGGACTCTCAGTAACTGGGGCACGCCTGTCGCGGAGTAACTCGTAACCACTGCTGTCGCTAGTAGAACTTCTTTTTGACAGTTTTCTAATGTTATTTTCTTTTGAGCGGTGGTGTGGTGGGTACTTCCATTTGCTCGCCTTTCTTCTCGGGGGTAATTTCGTCTGTCTTCTCGTGGGTAGTTTCTTCTTTCTTGGACATGTGGAGGGCGCCTTTCTTGGTGAAGTGAAGTATGATGATGCTGATTGCATATTCTGCACTTCAGCGTGCTTTTACAATTTTCTCTGGAATTGTGATTCATGCAGTTCATGCAGAGATGCTTCTCTCTTATCGTCTTTATCCTGTCGGCTACCGTCAATTTTTTATATTTTTGACATGTCCAGATAGGATGGGCTTGATGGCAAAGTTGGCACTCTGAATTTCTTGTGTCTCTTTGGAATCCGTTTCTTTCACTTCCGGCGATTGCTTCCAGTGAATGAAATCGTCTTTTCAAAAATTCGAATATGTCTTGCAGGTGCGGCACTTGATGTGGGTCTACCAATTGTTGCTCGTACAGTTTGTTTGTTTCAGCGTCCCATTTTCTGGCTATTATTCTCCCAATAATGGGTCCCCATGTGCTGGTGTCAGAACCCAAATTTTTTATAGCTTCTAGGCATTCATTTGTAACATCATGCAAATTTTTTATTTTTTCTGCTGATTCCTTCGTCAGTTCTGGAATATCCAGGATTCGGTCTATCAGTTTCGACACAACAAGGCGGTCGTTTTGATACCGTCCTTTTAATAATTTCCATGCTGTTTCGTAGTTCGTTTCTGTTACAGCTAAATGCTTGATTAGGTTTTGAGGGTCACCACGTAGCTGAGTTTTCAGGAATTGCATCTTCTCTGAATTGCTGATGCTTTGGTTGGAATGGATTATTCTTGAGAAGAGATCATGGAAGGCAGGCCAATCTTCATATCTTCCATTGAATAAAGGCAGCTTTAACGCCGGGAGACTCGTATTCGTCACCATTTGACACTTTTTGATTTTTTCCTTTATGGCATCAAGAGTGTTCCGATACTTGTGTCTAATTTCGAACTGAGTTGCAACGTATTCTTCGTCTACTTGTGTTAATGCTCGTCTTACTTCATTTTGGTATAGTACTGAGTTCCATTTTTCCTCAAGCTCTTTGAGTGACGTTTCATAATAGTTTGCTGACTTATTTTCGGACAGTTCATCTTGAATGTTGGAAATTAGATAAGTTAGCTCTTGAATTGCTTCGTCCATCCTACTTTGTAAGTTCAGCTTTTCTTCTGTTGTTTGAGTCCTTCTTGTTGGCGATCGGTCACTTTTGGTACATTCTTGGAGATATTTCGACGTTTCTATGAACTTGTTTTTTATTTGTTCGAAATAGTTGGTTGTGAAGTAGATGTGATCATTAACTCCCAATGCCTTAATATCTTCGTGGTTCTTCTCGACACTTTTCCATATCTTGTCTAGTATTGCCATACGGGAAACGACATATGATGTGGTTTTTCTTTCTCGGGCATCTTTTTTCCAATTGCTAAGATTTTTCACAATCTCATTGCCCAGCATTTCCTGCTTCGCGGCTAAATTATTTGTTTCCTCCATTCTAGGGCTAAGAATTTGCTCTTCTTATAGGTGTAGGGTTACGAATGGCTCTTTCGTAGATTGGTTTGGTTTGTTGATTTGAGCGGCGACTGGGGCCTTGTTGGTTTGAGCGGCGACTGGGGCCTTGTTGATTGAGCGGCGACTGCGGCCTTGTTGGTTGAGCGGCGACTGGGGCCTTGTTGATTGAGCGGCGACTGGGGCCTTGTTGATTGAGCGGCGACTGGGGCCTTATTGGTTTGAGCGGCGACTGGGGCCTTGTTGATTTGAGCGGCGACTGCGGCCTTGTTGATTGAGCGGCGACTGGGGCCTTGTTGATTTGAGCGGCGACTGGGGCCTTGTTGGTTGAGCGGCGACTGGGGCCTTGTTGATTTGAGCGGCGACTGGGGCCTTGTTGGTTTGTTTGTTGAGGGCGGAACGGCACACTCGCAGGCTCGGATTGTGTCCTGGGGGCTGAACGGCACTTTTTGCTTGTTGAGGGCGGAACGGCACTCTCGCAGGCTCGGATTGTGTCCTGGGGGCTGAACGGCACTCTCGTAGGCTGGTTTGGGTTAGGCTCGAAGGACCATGAACAGAGTTGGGCCCTTTGTGTAGTTCACTAGAGGGTTGTAAGGCCTCCAAGGTCCGTATCTCTGTGCGTGACGTCCAGGAATTATTGCCTGAAAGTCACTAGTTATCTTGAACCAAGATAACGACTACAAAGCCCTTAGGGAAGAACTTTGGGGATAATTATCACAAATGGCTACTTTGTGTAATTAAATGAGCAGAAACTATTATTGTTTGATACTGGCTTTATTATTCAAATTGATTCTTATTTATATTAAATATTTCAATTTGAACCTAACAATATTTATCATAACTAATAATAATTAATTACAATATTTTTCATAACTTAATAACAATTAAAGGTGTGTTGACTTTGTATCTAAAACACTGGCGCTACGCGGTATCATAACGGAAATTAAGGTGAAAAACCCGTGAACATCGATTCGTGGTTTTTTAGTAACTTTGGACAAGGTTTGCGATGGGTTTAATTACCTTGCCTTATTTCCTAAAAAATTGTGGATTTTATAATGATGTAGAAATTGAGCGGCGATTTTTAATCAAAGCTCATAGATGGTGCACCCCATAGCATCCCTCTTCCCCTCAGTACTCACGGTGGAGACTGTGGAATGCCCGGAGGGTGCTGTGTTGGGGAGGTCGGGGTAAAGCTTGCTCACCGCCTGTGCTTGCATCAATTTACTCTCCTCCAATGATTGCACTCTGGTGGTCAGGGCGGTGCAGGTGGCCTTGTATTCCTGCATCTCTGTTAATACTTTGTCAAGCTTCTTCTCAATGCGTTTCATACAGTCATAAAGGTCAGAGGAACCTTTTGATGACTTGTCACAGCTGGGTCCAGCAGCTTCAGATGTTACAGACTCGGCATCATCATCCACGTGACTGGAACCAAGTCCACTTGCTTCCAGGACTTCCTCTACATTGAGTGCCACAGGTTGCACTTCCACGGGTTGGACTGGAAAGGTGGTCCCCCTCTTTCTTCTTCCGGAACACTCCCTCAGCGGTTCTTGTGCTGGCCTCTTGTTCCCGGCGGGCATGTTGATGTTGAGAGGAGCGGGGGCGCCTGTTGAGCTTTGGCTGGCCTGGGGTTCTTGGGGGGGAATCCGGCTCGAAGGACCATGAACAGAGTTGGGCCCTTTGTGTAGTTCACTAGAGGGTTGTAAGGCCTCCAAGGTCCGTATCTCTGTGCGTGACGTCCAGGAATTATTGCCTGAAAGTCACTAGTTATCTTGAACCAAGATAACGACTACAAAGCCCTTAGGGAAGAACTTTGGGGATAATTATCACAAATGGCTACTTTGTGTAATTAAATGAGCAGAAACTATTATTGTTTGATACTGGCTTTATTATTCAAATTGATTCTTATTTATATTAAATATTTCAATTTGAACCTAACAATATTTATCATAACTAATAATAATTAATTACAATATTTTTCATAACTTAATAACAATTAAAGGTGTGTTGACTTTGTATCTAAAACACTGGCGCTACGCGGTATCATAACGGAAATTAAGGTGAAAAACCCGTGAACATCGATTCGTGGTTTTTTAGTAACTTTGGACAAGGTTTGCGATGGGTTTAATTACCTTGCCTTATTTCCTAATAAATTGTGGATTTTATAATGATGTAGAAATTGAGCGGCGATTTTTAATCAAAGCTCATAGATGGTGCACCCCATAGCATCCCTCTTCCCCTCAGTACTCACGGAGGAGACTGTGGAATGCCCGGAGGGTGCTGTGTTGGGGAGGTCGGGGTAAAGCTTGCTCAACGCCTGTGCTTGCATCAATTTACTCTCCTCCAATGATTGCACTCTGGTGGTCAGGGCGGTGCAGGTGGCCTTGTATTCCTGCATCTCTGTTAATACTTTGTCAAGCTTCTTCTCAATGCGTTTCATACAGTCATAAAGGTCAGAGGAACCTTTTGATGACTTGTCACAGCTGGGTCCAGCAGCTTCAGATGTTACAGACTCGGCATCATCATCCACGTGACTGGAACCAAGTCCACTTGCTTCCAGGACTTCCTCTACATTGAGTGCCACAGGTTGCACTTCCACGGGTTGGACTGGAAAGGTGGTCCCCCTCTTTCTTCTTCCGGAACACTCCCTCAGCGGTTCTTGTGCTGGCCTCTTGTTCCCGGCGGGCATGTTGATGTTGAGAGGAGCGGGGGCGCCTGTTGAGCTTTGGCTGGCCTGGGGTTCTTGGGGGGGAATCCGGCTCGAAGGACCATGAACAGAGTTGGGCCCTTTGTGTAGTTCACTAGAGGGTTGTAAGGCCTCCAAGGTCCGTATCTCTGTGCGTGACGTCCAGGAATTATTGCCTGAAAGTCACTAGTTATCTTGAACCAAGATAACGACTACAAAGCCCTTAGGGAAGAACTTTGGGGATAATTATCACAAATGGCTACTTTGTGTAATTAAATGAGCAGAAACTATTATTGTTTGATACTGGCTTTATTATTCAAATTGATTCTTATTTATATTAAATATTTCAATTTGAACCTAACAATATTTATCATAACTAATAATAATTAATTACAATATTTTTCATAACTTAATAACAATTAAAGGTGTGTTGACTTTGTATCTAAAACACTGGCGCTACGCGGTATCATAACGGAAATTAAGGTGAAAAACCCGTGAACATCGATTCGTGGTTTTTTAGTAACTTTGGACAAGGTTTGCGATGGGTTTAATTACCTTGCCTTATTTCCTAATAAATTGTGGATTTTATAATGATGTAGAAATTTCAGATTAAATTAAAATTTATGTTGAAATTTCTAATTTATGTTGATTCAACATCTAATTAAATTTGAATTTGCTAATCAAATTCTTCCAATTAAATTTTACGTTATTTCCGATAATGATAATATACCACATGATGGTATCATAGGAAATGATTTCCTAACAAGCCAAAAGGCAATAATTGATTTAAATAATTTGGAATTATCTTTGAGTTCTTTACGAGATCCAATAAAAATATTTCATAAACAAAAAAGAGATAACAATTCTTTTTATGTGAATCCGAGGTCAGAAAGCGTTATCAAAATAGATATTCTTAATTCGAATATCTCCCAAGGGATATGTCCCGAAATTAAAATTGCAGAAGGCATATATTTAGCCAGATCTATAGTTAAAGTAGTTAATGGCAAGGCCCTTACTACAATTTTAAATACTCATAATCGAGGTATAAGGATTAATAAAATCCAGGTCAATTTAGAACCTTTTGAAGAAACAAATTCTTGTATACTTTCTTATCAAAATAATAAAATTAATAAAGAGCAAAGACTCAAATTATTACAAGAAAATCTACGTTTAGATCACCTTAATTTAGAAGAAAAATATTCTGTTTCAAAAATCTGTAACGAATATAATGACATATTTTTCTTGCCTAACGATAAACTAACTACAACGAATCTTTTGAAACACGAAATTAAAGTCACTGACCCGACACCCATTGCGTCCAAAATTTATCGGTTTCCAGAAATTCATAAAAAAGAACTAGACAAGCAAATAGCTAAAATGCTACAGCAAGGCATTATTCGAGAATCAGTTTCTCCTTACAACTCTCCTCTTTGGATAGTTCCCAAAAAGCTGGATGCTTCAGGCGAAAGGAAATGGAGGATAGTCGTTGATTTTAGGAAACTCAATGATGTGACTATTTCCGAATTTTTTCCTTTACCCAGTATCGAAGATATTCTAGACCAACTTGGTCATTCTAAATATTTCACCACTTTAGATTTAGCTTCCGGTTTTCATCAAATTGACATGCACGAAAGTGACATCTCTAAAACTGCTTTTTCAACTCCTTCAGGTCATTACGAGTATGTTCGTATGCCGTTTGGTTTAAAGAATGCCCCCAGTACTTTCCAAAGGCTTATGAATGCCGCCCTTACAGGTCTTCAAGGACTTCAATGTTTCGTATACCTTGATGACATTGTCATCTTTGCCAGTTCCATAGAAGAACATTCCAAAAAATTAGAAAATGTATTTCAAAGACTTCGAACTAATAAACTTCTCTTACAACCCGATAAGTGCGAATTCATGCGCACCGAAGTTACTTATCTAGGTCATATCGTTAGTGAAAAAGGAGTTTCACCAAATCCCGATAAAATTTCATCAATGAAGGAATACCCAATTCCAAAAACTCCGAAACAAATTAAGCAATTTTTAGGTCTTATTGGTTATTATCGAAGATTCATCAAAGATTTCTCAAAATTGGCAAAACCACTAACAAATCTTTTAAAGAAAGATGTTCCATTCTTATGGTCTTCTGAACATCAAAATTCCTTTGATTATTTCAAAAATATCTTAACTACAAAGCCAATTCTCCAATACCCTGATTTCTCCAAAGAATTTATTCTTACAACAGACGCTTCTAATTACGCTGTTGGAGCGATCTTATCTCAAGGAAAAATTGGTGAAGATTTACCTATCTCATACGCATCAAGGACTCTTAATAAAGCCGAATGCAACTATTCTGTTGTTGAAAAGGAACTTCTTGCTATTGTTTGGGCAGTAAAACATTTTCGTCCATACCTATATGGTAGAAAATTTGTTATTTACACAGATCATCGCCCCCTAACTTGGCTTTTCAATTGCAAAGATCCAAGTAGCCGACTAGTACGATGGCGTTTAAAACTAGAAGAATATTCTTACGAAATAAAATACAAACCTGGAAGAGTAAATTCTAATGTTGATGCTTTATCCAGAAATCCTGTACCTGTAATGACAGTACACTTGGAAAAATCTTGTTTTCCTACAAAAGAAGCCGAATCATTCCCGGACTTCACGAAATTTCATTACCAAAACCAAAAAGTTCCAAATATCGAAATAATTAAGGAAAATATATTCCAAAAATTTCCAAATGCAATTTTCTATTCTAAGGATCTTGATGAAAACAATCCATGTTCCGAAAATCTCTCCCTAAATTATGATTTAGCAAAAATCGATCTAAATGAACTAAATCTTTACGATTCAGTAACTTTAAAAAACGATAATAAACAAACGTTTTTGCTTATCTCTATAAATTAACGTACAATGATCTTTTCTACTCCTTGCAAAATTTGAGAACAGATCTAAAGAAAAATAAAATATCTCATATCTTCTTAAAGAATCCATGTGAAAATAATATTCACATAAAACAAGACGTTTTTAACGACCTCCTTGAATACTTATTTATAAAACACAAAATTTCTATTACTCTGGTTAATCGTCCTAGATTTCAACCGAATACTCATGACGAAATAAAACAAATATTCAAAGAAAATCATGATTCAGCTGTTTCAGGTCACTCAGGTTTTCTTCGTACTTACCGAAGAATTAAAGAAAATTATAAATGGCCTAATATGAAAAGTGACATTAAAAGGTTAATTAAAATTTGAGAATCCTGTCAAATTAATAAGTTAAATCGTCACCCACCTAAAGCTCCTATGGAGATAACAACAACTAGCGAACGTCCATTCCAAAGACTAGCTATTGACATTGTAGGACCCTTACCCATAACAGAAAAGGGTAACAGATTCATTATCACCATGCAAGATGATTTAACTAAATTCTCATATGCTATGCCTATTCCAAATCATGAAGCCAGAACTGTAGCCGAACAGTTATTGCAATTTATCTCTCTTTACGGTATCCCAGAAACAATTTTATCAGATCAAGGCACTGATTTCACTTCTAACGTCATAAAAGACTTGAATAAACTTTTCAAAATCAAGCATATACTGTCTAGTCCTTATCATCCGCAAACTAATGGCGCATTAGAAAGGTCACACCTTACTTTAAAGGAATATCTAAAACATTACATAAGTTCCCAACAAAATGATTGGGACGAATTTGTCTCATTGGCTATGTTCACCTATAACACACATATTCACAAAGCCACTAATTTCACTCCGTACGAATTAGTCTATGGTCATAGAGCTTCTATTCCAAATTCTCTAACATCGAAACCTGAATTCAAATATACTTATGATGATTTCTACTCCGCACTAAAATTAAAATTAAACCAAAGTTTTGAATTAGCTCGAGAAAACA